TGCTGTACCTGCAGAGTGCATGCGCCAGACTGCAGAAAATGCAGAAAATAAAATATCTACTAAATGATGCACGTTTAGAAGATATTCCTTGTACCTACAGGTAAGCTTTATTATGAGCTAACCTGTAGGTAAAAGTGCACCAGCGGTATTTACTGCTGCTTTAAGGCCTCTTTCACATGGGCTTCAGCTTATGAAAGCAATGTAAATGGCAGGCTTTAATGAAACTTTAAGCAAGCTTTTGCAAAGCTTTCGGCCAGATTTGAGCAGCTTTTTATAAGCCTTTAAAGCACATTGCCACTTTAAACAAGCTGCTGGCAGGCTTCAGCAGGCTTTCAACAGTAGTGCTGAACCTTGCCAGCAACTTGTTTAAAGTGACAATCGGCACTCTTATTAGGATTTGTATTCAACATTTACAAACTAGAGCTGAATGGTACTTTAAAAGCTTCAGCAAAGCCTGCTCAAAGCTCTGTAAATGCTTTGTAAAAGCTAACTCTGCACACTGCCCTTATACAAGCTGAAGACTGTGTGAAACAGGCCTTAAAGTGGTTCTAAAGTCTCAAGGTTTTTAACCTTCGTGCACTCTATGCATGAAGATAAAAAAAAAGTCTGTGTGTAGCAGCCCCCCCCCCCCCCCAGTCCCCCCTAACACTTAACTAAGTCCCCTCTTGATCCAGCAATGTCCACAAGAGCATTGAATCTCTGGGGACTCTCACTCCTGTTTGGCTGAGGCAGCAGCCAGTGAGCCAACCAGAAGAGGGAGGGGCAGGGGCATGGTCAAGCTGTAGCTCTGTGTGTGAATGGAAACAGAGAGCCGGGGCTCGATAATGTGCCTGCTCGGGTACCCCCCTAGCAAGCTGTTTGCAGGAGAGAGGGGCCAGGAGTGCCAGCAGGAAACCAAGAAGAGGATCCAGGTTGCTCTGTGAAAAACCACTGCACAGAGCAGGTAAGTATAGACATTTTTGTTATTTTTAAGAAGAAAAAAAATCAACAATTTAGTATCACTTTTATGCAGAATTGAGCATTTATTTAGTCCCAAAGCCTTAAAATGGGAACACTTGAAAAGCTTATGAATCAAGCATTTTCACATTTATTTTTAGCCTGTAAGGACAGATTCCATCCTTTTAAAGCTTCAGGCGAATTTGTTTGAGCCAATGAATACACATGTAAAATGTTTTAAATAAGCTTCTAAAACACTTGTATAAAAAAAAAGCTAAGAAATACACCTGAAACTCACTCTGCTCAGGTGTGAATAAAGTTGTGATCAAGAAATACCTTTGTTTTTTTTTTTTCAGTGTAAGCATCGCATATCTAACTTGAGATTACATAATTCTAATTGTGTTAGTACAGCAGTAACCCATTATTCTGTTGTCTTTTTTTGGGTTGTGTTTTACTGGCATTCCAAAAGTTTATTTTAAGATAAAAAATAAAAGCAACTTTACTAGGAAATGCAATCTATTCTTGTTTTGTGAAGTGAAGGCTATTCCACAAGTCAGGTTGCCAAAATACTAAAGATTTCATAGACAGATGTGTACTTCTGTCTTTACAGTCTTGTTCTTCCCAGGATAGAAAAACGTAACGGAAGGTTCAGAAGCACGACTGCACAAGTAGATAAGTACCAGAGAATCGGCAATTTGAGAAAGAGATGCCTTACTGGTCCTCATGCAGTTGCTTCCTTAAATAGTACATGCTAAATACCAGTGTTATCTACAACTGTGAAAGGATTACTTCAGGATATCAGCCTTAAAGGCAGAGATTCAAAGATTGAGGTGTTAGGAACAAGGATATATGTGAGACATAAAGGAGAAGAAAGTATGCCAGAGTGAATGATGCCTTCTGTCAAACATGGCAGAGGAAATGTAATGCTATGGAGCTGATTTGTGCTGGTAAGCAGGCATGTTACACAGAGAGCTAAGAATAACGAACCATAAAACTTACCAATACCTGGCCGCTGTTAGTACTTGACTAGTGGATATTGTGTCATGTCGAGACAATGATCTGAAGCACATTTCTAAGCTTTGTGAAACCTGTATGGTTAAAGCCTAAGTGCAGCCAAAATCAAAAACATAACTTACAGTCAGTCAGATGTGTCCCTTGTGCTGATGCCTCTTCTGTTACTAGAAATCCTCTTCTGACCATGCCTTCCCCACCCCCAATTCCCTAATCTTCCAGCACAGGGGTTAGTAGAACTAAGGGGCTGTCACAGGCTCTTAAGAAAGCCTGATTATGCCTACCGTTTCCGCCCAGATATTCCACTCATGGAAGTTGTACTACACGTTCTATAAACCAAGATCTATGAATGGAAGGGGTGGACCTTTCAATCATCATCCCTTGGCATCAGAGAGACCGCTCTCTCTTGGGTTCTCGTCGTCCTATCTATCCCAACGCTCCTTCAGCGTTTCCTACAACGGCGCCACCTCCTCTTCCCTCCCCCTCTCTGTTGGGGTCCCCCAGGGCTCTGTCCTTGGACCCCAAACTCTTCTCCATCTACACCTCCTCCCTTGGCAAACTCATACACTCCCACGGCTTCAACTACCACCTCTATGCTGATGATACTCAAATCTACCTATCCACCCCTCACCTCACCCCCACATTCTCCGCCCTCATCACTCACCTCCTAAACGACATCTCTGACTGGATGTCGCTCCATTTCCTCAAACTCAACCTCTCCAAAACCGAGCTTCTCGTCTTTCCCCCTTCCCGTGCCCCCCCCCCCCCATCCTTTCCATCACTACCAACAACACCACCATCAATCCCGCCCAGCAAGCCAAGGTCCTTGGCGTCATTCTGGACTCAAACCTTTCCTTCCAACCTCATGTCAAATCACTCACAAATACATGCAGGCTCCACCTTCGCAACATCGCCAAAATACGCTTCCTTCCTTACCCCAAGGTGACCCAGACACCACTAAACTACTCGTTCACTCCCTGATGTATCTCACGCCTTGACTACTGCAACTCCCTCCTCATCGGCCTACCCCAGTGCAAACTCTCCCCGCTTCAGACCATCCTGAACTCAGCTGCCAGACTCATCCACCTCACCAGCCGCTCCACCTCTGCCACCCCCCTCTGCCTCTCCCTCCACTGGCTCCCCATTGCCCAACGCATTAAATTCAAACTGCTCACTCTGACCTATAAAGCCATTCACAACACTGCCCCTAACTACCTCACCGACCTGATTCCCAAGTACCACCCTACCCGTACCCTTTGCTCTTCACAGGACCTCCTTCTATCTTGCTCCCTGGTCTCCTCCTCCCACGCACGACTGCAAGACTTCTCCAGGTCCTCCCCCATCCTCTGGAACTCACTACCCCAATCCATCAGACTGTCACCTTCCCTCCTCACCTTCAGGCGCTCCCTGAAAACCCACCTCTTCAGGGAAGCCTGGATTCACAAGCTCACCCCACCCTCACCTAACAGCCGCTGCCCTTCCCTCCTCCTACCACTCCATCCCCCACAGCCGTTTCCTCCTGTACCTCTACCCCCTCCCTCCTAGATTGTAAGCTCGAAAGAGTAGGGCCCTCTTACCCCTTGTGTGCTGTTTGATGTTACTGTACTGTTTCATGTATTGTCCCCCCACTATTGTACAGCGCTGAGCAAACCCTTTGGCGCTATATAAACTCGATAAATAAATAAATAAATAAATTTTCATCTGCTGTGGTACAGATTATATAAATGCAGAAACTTAGTGAAAAGGGCAGGCATAGTCAGGCTCTCTTGATGAGAGCCTGTGACAGCCCCTTAGTTTTATTAACCTCCACACTGGAAAAATGGAGGTGGGGGAGCATGGACAAAGGAGGATTTTTTTTTTAACCAACATAAATGGCATCAGAACAAGGAACACATCTTACTGACTGTGATTTATCTGCCTCGTGTTGATTTTTCTGTATCTGTTTTGGCTGCACTTACACTTCAAGTAATAGGAAGCCATGGTACTGTCTTTAGTCAAGTATCTGGCACAATCAACAGATTTCAACCCCATCAAGCACTTGGAGGGAAGACCCTCATCATAATAGAACAGAAATATGCCCTACAAAACTTGCACCTCTGTGATGAGCTACAAAAGTCAGATATTTAAGTGTACTGAATATCTTCAAATCCTAAAACTAAAATGACAAATGTCTCCAAAGGCTGTAATTTCTGCAAACTGAAAAGTCTTTGATGAATAGAAAGGTTATAACAAATAAAAAGAAAGCTATAGTTCTTTTATAGTTATAGGTAAAGTCTTTATACCATACTAAGCATTTTCTTCGCTCCCCTGAATGAATTTTCACCAGGCGGGAGGAAATGCTGCTTCAAAAACGCTCCTAAAGCCACGTTTTGCATACGTGTTTAGGTACATTAAGTGTTTGATCGTTAATGGATTCCTTTGGCCAGAATATTAGTTTTTTCTGACCATTGGAATGAACGCTCAGGTGTTTAGGTGCATTTAAATGCATCAAGTGTTTTTCTGCCTAAAATCTCCTCTTCTGACCACGCTGGATGTTCTTCCAGCCTGTAAAGGCACTCTTCTAATAAACCTGTACACGCCTATGTGGGCATGAACATATAGGCTAACATAGGAGGTGCATTTAGAGGCAGAAAAAAAAAAAAAAAAAAGTGCAGCGCCTGAAAAAGTGCAGTTTTATTTTTAAGCCCTGTGTGCATGAGCCCTAAAAGTACATTATCTGTACGATACAACATATAAGCGTGGGGGCTGCAGCAAAAAAGTTGCAAGACAAGCAAACATGGCAAACATCGCGGGGCAATCTGCAGCACTGTGCTACAGAAACAAGTTACCAAGGCAGTGTGTAGCATAGCTAGCAAGCAAAGACCTAAAGTCCAAAGGACAATTATTTACAATAAAAATAACAGTGTTCAACAATACCCAATACGAGCATTACATTAGGCAGCATACTAAAAAATGAGACAGACAAATCTAAAAGTAAATAAAATACAGATTTTACAGAAATACCCTTAGATTATACAAGCAGGTATACATGTAGGATAAAAGTAGACACTTACTGCAGCAGGCCTTCAGCAGGTCCTCCTTTGAGAACATCAGAGATGACTATTGATGTTTCTCCACTCTGGAAATGAGGGTTGTCTCTACCTCCCGATATTGCGATCCCAAATCCAAATCCTGGAGCCTATCGGGGGAAAAAAAAAATATTTTTATCAGAGTTACCATTTAACATGCAAGAAGCAAACAGCTGCAGTAGTGCTAGTCATTGCCATCTATACCAAGAACTGTACAAGTCTTTTCTGTAAGCCAAACAGATGCATTCAGTTTATGATGCACACTCCAACACCACACATTAGAAATGATTAGTGTTTAAAAGAGAAATGTACTTTTGTACATCTATCATACTTTGTGAAAGAAATGACCAAGATAAAAAAGCATATATATGGAGCTATACTTATTTACTGCCATTTCTTTTTAGTACTACCAGTATGTATTCATTATGGCCACCTACTGAACTATCAGCCCCTACATCATGCCCTGTACGACAACATGCAGATATGGGGAATCTGTGTATAGGAAACACCCATACTTTCTGCTGGACTTTTCCTGCAAAGCACACATTGCTGGAAGAGGGAATAACACATTCTAAAGCTTAGTAATTGAACAGAACTAGCATGGATCTCCTTGACTTAATGGGGATACATCAAGTGCCAGCTCTGAATGCCCAGTCTGAAATGAAAGTCCCTTACGGCCCATCCAGCTAAACTGGCTAGTGTAAGCTATTTTTAATTTAAGAGATGCAAAAAACGTTCTGGAAAAGGGAAGGTTTCTCTTGTAAATTTTCTTCAAACTATAATCAAAACAAAAAGGTCTGTATATGCACATTTTTGTATTATTCAGGATGAAAAAAAAGGTATTTACGGGGTCCAATAAGTCACTTTCCAACCTGTTAACAGGGAGCAAGGTTAACAATTTGTATATAAAGTTCCTTTGACTGCAAACATCATTAAGTTCAAAGAATAAGCAATGACTTGTGGGGGGGGGGGGGGGGGACAAACATACATCCTCACCTCAATGCTGCAGCGTCAATCTGATGCTGCAGCTGTCCCATGTCAGATGTAAGACAGAGAACTGAACAATTGCATTGACCATTGACCACTCAGTTCTCGGTCACTTCAGAGTGGAGAGCACTGAATGCCAGTCACTGATCTCGGCTGTGCCCCTCCAGCTGGGCTGGAGAGGAGACAAGCGGCTTTCCCCCACATGTTGAGAGCTGGAGCCAGCTCTCAACGAGGCAGTTGGGTGGATCCCAACAATATGACCAGGATCCTTCCAGAACATGATCTGTGACATCAGCTGAGAGCAAGCTGTCAGCCAATTCTGGGTCACAGGAGAGCAAAAACGTAAGTGTACTCCTGTGACCCATAAGAGCATAAAAAAATTTAAAAAAAACACAAGCTTTAGTCATACTTCTCCTAAACTCCTCATTTTATGGTATTAGAATTCTTTTATATACTGAAGGATATTTGCTACATTTTTTCAGGAAAAAGTACACTGGATGAATAAGTTAGTATCAAGCATGATATGCATGTCTCTTTAAAATTGTAAATATTTCTCATAGAATACAATACTGCAAAATAAATGATATGCTTTATCTCCTACTCCTACTACTTGACCTCTCCGCGGCTTTTGACACGGTTGACTATCCCCTCCTCAAAAAACTACAATCTTTTGGCCTCAGCGACTCTGCTCTCTCCTGGTTCTCCTCCTATCTATCACAGCGCTCCTTCAGTGTTACCTAGAACGCTGCCACCTCCTCCTCACTCCCTCTTTCTGTAGGGATCCCCCAAGGTTGTGTCCTTGGACCCCTTCTCTTCTCCATCTACACCTCCTCCTTTGGCCACTTGATAAACTCCCACGGCTTCAACTACCATCTCTATGCTGATGACACGCAAATCTGTCTACCCCTCACCTCACCCTTTCAGTTTCCACCCGTATTGTTAGCCTACTGAGCGACATATCGGCCTGGATGTCACTCCACTTCCGCAAACTCAACCTCTCAAAAACTGAGCTCCTAGTATTCCCCCCTGCCCACGCCACCCCCACTGACTTCACCATAACAATCGCTAACACCATCCTCAGTCCCTCCCCTCACGCCAGGGTACTAGGGGTAATCCTAGACTCCCATCTGACCTTACAGCCCCAGATCCAATCGCTGAAAAAATCATGCAGACAACACCTCCGCAACATCTCCAAGATACGACCGTTCCTAACCTCGGAAACCACTAAGCAACTCAATCACTCCCTTGTCATATCATGACTCGACTACTGTAACTCCCTCCTCATTGGCCTACCTCATCGCAGGCTATCATGAATGCTGCTGCCAGACTCATCCACCTTACTAACCGTTCTGTATCCACCACCCCTCTCTGCCAATCCTTCCACTGGCTTCCGATTGCCCAACGGATAAAATTCAAAACTCTGACAATGATATATAAAGCCATCCACAACACTGCCCCCAACTTACATAACCGATCTTATCTCTAAATATCACCCAAACCGTACACTCCGCTCCTCGCAAGATCTCTTACTCTCTAGCTCCCTTGTCTCCTCCTCCTATGCTCATCTCCAAGACTTCTCCAGGGCGTCACCCATCCTCTGGAACGCCCTACCCCAATCTATCAGATTATCACCTACTCTACTTGCCTTTCAGCGTTCGCTGAAAACCTCTCTCTTCAGGGAAGCCTAACCTGCCCTCTGCTAATTCTGGTATCCTCTACTCTTCCAACCACTCCATCCCCCACAGCGACTACCTACTGTACCACTCACCCCGCCCTCCTGGATTGTAAGCTCCAAGGAGCAGGGCCCTCTAATCCCTCTTGTATTGAACTGTATTGTTACTGTATTGTCTCCCACTATAATGTAAAAGCGCTGAGCAAACCGTTGGTGCTATATAAATCCTGTATAATAATAATATTAATCTCTGTTTTTGACAATTTTTTATTTGGGCACTTACAATGTGTTTATTTAGATTATGTATATTCTTGCCTTGTCATGTAGCTCATATTGTAAAAATTAAACAGCCTGGCACAACATTATTGTATTTGCTAGCCAAGTAATTGTTGGTCTGTGTGTGTGTGTGTGTGTGTGTGTGTGTGTGTGTGTGTGTGTGTGTGTGTGTGTATACACACACACACACAAAAACATATACTTATACATACAGTATACACACACAATGACATTTCCATTTGTAAATCACGCACTTTGTTTCATCTACTGTACACCAAGGTTAAAGCAGTTACTTTTTATGTACTATAGTGTCACAGTTTTACATTTTAAATGATATTGTTATGAATTATATTATTGCTATCATACTGTTGCAATACTTGCTATCTACATCCTCAATATAACTTGTACAGGATTCCACAGTTGGGTCCTAAATAGCAGGTTTATTTCCCCACTATCTGGGTTGTGGTCCCTTTCGGAGGGATGATTTAAGAGCATGTTGAGTAGTCAAGGGTTCTCACCCATGCAGACTGAGGGGTTTTAGGGTAGTCTGGCTAGAGAAGAGAGAGCTGACTTTCAGTATTCACCAGAGCGCTAAGTCCTTATTAGGGACCCAGAATTTTGGAGGTTTGAAGAGTTGGTTTGGTTTGAAGGTTGAAGAGTTTTCAGTGGGAAGGACCTCCAAACCGTAATTACAGGGAATTTGGTCATGCAGGGGTTAATCTGTCTGTCCATAAAAGAGAGGAATCAGGCGGCACCTGGCAGTGGGAGAGTGAGTGGAACACACCTGACTGAACTAGCTTGAGATTGAGCCACAATTGCTGTGAAAGCCTCCACGTTGGGACCCCTGAAGCAAATGGGAAACCCCAAAACCCCAGTGGGGGACCAGCATGGCGACAGTGCTCCATTATCTTGTTTTGTGTCACTGAACCAGAGTATGGATTATTTGGTGTTCTTTTGCTGGAGCAAGCCATTTTGTTTTTGGACTACTTCCATTTTCAAATAAAGACTGACACTTTTTTTTCCAAGTGGCTGGCGCTGATCCTGAACTACTACAGGACAACCTGGATAATTAAATATGCCAATTATGAAATAACTTCTTAAATGACTTTGTGTGGCCTACCTTTCCGTTCAAATCATTACAAAAACAAGGTAAGTAATAATAAATTATTTCCTGCAGAAGCCTGGGTCTACACTTCTAAAATGACATTGTATAAAGCTTCATGTATACCACTTAGGATAACACCCAAACTAATTAGGCTCATTCATACCACATGTGTTGGGGTTGCAGTGCTCATCCTAATACAACAAGCCAAAATCCATTGTTTCCAAGACTCCTTGAACACTGGGCATTTTAATAACGCTGGTAACATTAGCTCTGTTTTCAGCGTTTTAGAGTTGTTGCACTTGTTTAGCTGCGTTTTTGATCTTTTTTTTTTTTTTTTTTTTTAACCATAAAAATATTTTTTTTGCTGGAAAAAAAAAAAGGTCCAAAAACGCTGTTTTGCCGCATTTTTCAGCATTCGTGATTTTACAGCTAAATTCCTCTAGAAATCCACTAGTTCTGGGGTTTTTTTCCAGCCACACTGATTACAGTCTATGTGTGCATAGACACATAGGATAACCTACTGGGGAGTTTACAGGCTGTAGAAAAAAAACGCCAAAAGCCAAAAACAGCCGCTGTAAAAACATCCAGTGTGCATGAGGACTAATCGCCTCAATTCAAAGTGCCATGTATGTATAGACAGGTAAAAATAGAAAATGCATGTCAACACAAGCTAAACGCAATGCAAATAAATCCAGCCTCAACTAATTTGATGGTAAATAGAAAAAAAGCCTAATAGAAATGCACAAAAAATTCCAAATGCACTCCTGTTGGTCCTTTCTGATTATTAGTATTTTCCTAATAAATATAGCTTTCTATAGTAAAAAATGTAAACCCTTTTAACCCATACTGGAAAAAATACCAATACTGCCAATATTTTAGACCTGCTGGTCTTTGTAATATAGCTAACAAAATAATACCTTCCCCGTGTCAGGCTCCATCGCCTACCACTTTAAATATGGGTAAACAAGCTTTGAAGCCTCCAAGTTAATCACTCATTGGCATCTGGACTATTCCTTGTGACTAACCCAGTGCAAGAATTAGGTTCACACACTGGCTGCTAATCCTACACTG